GGTGATATATCATCCTTGTGATGTAGAGGTTGAGTTGTATAAGAAACAGATTAAAACTCTACAATAACTAGACAAAATGAAAAGCAAAGAGTGCCAGGAAGATCTGGATTAGATCCAAGGTCAAGCTTGCAGGGAAAAAAATGTGTTCTGAATTTTTCTTACATAGAAAATAAAGAATTGTTTGCAGTTCTTTTGGAAAATACTTGCAGGAGCTGTTTCATCTCGACTATGATTTCATTGATTCATTGTTTTGCTTGCCTTGAATTATAACTTTCTTTGAGTCCTAATGGCATAACTGTGATTAGGACTCAACCACAATTACATGATGTTTTCAGGGTCACAGAACTTCCTAACAGGAAAGCTGCCAATCCATGGGATAGGTTATCACACAGAGGGCTTTATTCCTCTTCACTCCAGGATTTCAAACAGAGGCTGGATGGTCATTTATCAGGGATGGTACAGTGAATCTTGCAGTGGGGAGGGAGTTGGAGTTGATGACCTGTGAGGTCCCCGAATTGATAATTTACACTAGATTTGTCTTGAGTTGGATATGGACAAAACTCTAAAAATTCAGATGATCTACAGAATAAATTCTTGGGTAGCATAATGAAACAAATTGCCAGAGGAAATTAGTCTCTGGGCTAAGAATGCCCGGGTTATAGATGACCCATAGTTAAGAACGGAGCCTATTGTAGCAAAATTCAAATTAAATACACAAGTATTCAAGTTAAATACACAATGGTTTGTTAATTACACACTATTACTTATACAATAATACTGTTCTGGCTTGCATACAAATTTGACTTAAGGACAGACCTTGGGAATGGAATTTGTTCTTAAACTGGGGACTAGCTGTACTTGTAAAATTCACATATTGTAAGATTAAAGAGGCAACTGATTATGTTTGATTAGATGCCATCAAGTCCATGTCGACTCTTAGTGACCACATAGATCAATTTTCTACATGACAATCTGTCCCTAACCTGGTCCTTCAGGTCTTCCAATGGTGCCCCCATCTCCAGTGCAACTGAATCCACCCCCCTTGCTGCTGGTCATCCTCTTCTCTTTCCTTCCCAGCATTAGAGCCTTCTCCAGAGAGCTGGGTCTGTGCTTCTTACTTTCCTGGCTTCCCTGTGTTCGTGCTTCTTACTTTCCACGTTCTTACTGCAATTCTGTCTTTGCAGCT